TTCTTTCTGAAAATTGCATTGTTGGTTAAGGGCTTGTAAGTAAGCATTTCACTGTAAGGTCTACACCTTTTGTATTCAGCGCATGTGACAAATACAATTTGGTGTGATTTCAGACAAACAAAGAGGTGTAATGGGTTCCCATATGTCACATAAAGCTTACTTCATTATTCAATGTTTTAAATTTTTTACTGCATCAGGGATAGCGTGCCCCTGGCAATCCATAAATAAATTTACATTTTACATTTTACATTTTAGTCATTTAGCAGACGCTCTTATCCAGAGCGACTTACAGTTAGAGAGTGCATACATTTTCATACTGGCGCCATGTCACTCAGCCGTCGTGGATGTGGTGGAGGAGTCAAGCGCAGGAAACAGAGGTTTAGTCCAACAAGACTTTTAATAGTCTCAATAACACGAGAACAAAACCCCGACCTCGAAAACACGAAGTGGCGAGGGAAAATTACGCACACGCGTAAAACACTAAACATGAAAAATGACACGGAAAAACAAACACGTATCATAGACACAGTGGCAACAGAATAACAACACACAAATACCCTAGATCACAACACGGAACTTATAAGACACGTAATCAACTCCCAAACAGACACAGGTGTGACAGACAGACAAAAGCAATCAAACACAGAAACATAGAGCGGTGGCAGCTAGTACTCCGGGGACGGCGAACGCCGAAGCCTGCCCGAACCAGGAGGAGGAGCAGCCTCGGCCGAAACCGTGACACGCCATCTGATTAGCTTAATAGAAGGAATTTGAAATGATTTATAATTTTACTTAATTACATTTGAGCAATTAATTACATGTACTTTTGATACTTAAGTATATTTAAAATTCACTTTTACTTGAGTATTATTCTATTAAGGTATCTTTACTTTTACTCAAGTATCACAATTGGGTACTTTTTCCACCACTGACGGTGCCTTCCCTCACCTCTGCCACCAAAACACTGAGCCCTTTGAAAATTAATTGTATCCACCTTTTCCTCCATCTTGAGATTACGTGCCATGAAAACCTTGACATTATCCTCAGTTGCCTGTAAAAAGACCAGCAAATCAGCTCCAAGTGATTTACATTTTGGAAGTCTGTTCCAAAGTATAACCACGCATAATAGAAAGATATGTAATTGTATACAAATGTAAGCAATATTTGAAGTGATTATGTTTTAGTCATCTGTTCTCATGGTAAATTTGCAGTCTATAAATTATTTGTAATTATATTCCGGCCCCCTGAGCATGCGCTTGAGAAAGTGTATGATCCTTGACTTAAACTGTAAATTGTATTTAAGAAAATGTGCACTTGAACCTCTTACTCCATATCAACTGTTGATGCTCAACACCAACTACAAAGTTGCCGGGTCCTCCATCTTTATTAACACTATAGGTGATTTTATTTGATGTAAGATATACAAATGTGTTAATTAAGTAAAATAATAAATTGTAGTGCTCTTGTTCGCGTAGATGCGTACGATTCTGGTTCAAGCATTTCAAAGTGTTTGTTAGAAAATGTGTTGATGTGGATGCGGTGGGTGAGTCAATCGCAGGACACAGAGGATCAGTCAAAGCGACTTTACTGTACTTGTAAATAGACACAAAAAGAAACGGCCTCAAACACAGGAGGCGAACACAATGCGCGCAGTGCGTAAAACACTAAACTCAGACAAGGCACCGAACCTACAACACACGACATGTGGAACAATAACACACAACTACAAAACATAACACAGGGAAACATATAGGTGACATAATCAGGACAGAATACGAAACAGGTGCACTAAACTAGACATGACCAAACAAACATTGAAAACATCAAACGGTGGCAGCTAGTACTCCGGGGACGACGAACGCCGAAGCCTGCCCGAACAAGGAGGAGGAGCAGCCTCGGCGGTATTCGTGACAGTGTTGATCAATAAATAGTTGAAAGTTCTCTATATTATCCAGAATGTTTGTTTTGCAGATATCAGCAAATTCTCAATTTTACTATTAATTAATGTAACAAGCTGTGCCTACCATGCTGACACGTCATTTCCCCCCTAAATAACTTGTTACCCTTACCTGAGAGTCTGGAGAAGATGAGGAGGAGGATGGAGAGGGAGAGATGAGAAGCCATTTCTCTGTATGTTATATGGTACCAATGCACAATGTGTGTGTCAAGGACCAAGGCACCAAAGAGAATGACTGAAGTTCCTAATAGCTATAGCTGTCTTTAACTCTCTTCCTGCTTCTGTTTGAGTGTATATGACCCCTCAGTGGCAGATAGAAACTATTACATTCTATGAACTAGTTGTAGCATAAGGCTCTAAGGCACTACAACTGATTGATGAATTATTAACTGGCAAAAATACACTTACCTGGCCAAAAGCAATATATAACCTCAAATCGAGGACTACGGAACAACAGCCTGAAAGAAACATTTACACTCCTCCTGAATAGAATTTTGCACCAGAGTTGTAAACTCACTGAGGGGCACTAGAACATCAAGATGAAGCATACTTTGCAGACTATTCCATGCCTCTGGTGCACAATAGAAAAAGGTAGTCTTGCCTAACTGTGTAACGGCCCTGGGAACTTTAAGTAGCAACCACCTAGTAGACTGTGTCTGGTAACTGCTAGTGGTGAAGGGTGTACTCCTGAGTGGCGCAGTGGTCTAAGGCACTGCATCGCAGTGCTAACTGTGCCACTAGAGATCCTGGTTCGAATCCAGGATCTGTCGCCGCCGGCCGCGACCGGGAGACTCATGGGCGGCGCACCATTGGCCCAGCGTCGTCCAGGGTAGGGGAGGGAATGGCCGGCAGGGATGTAGCTCAGTTGATAGAGCATGGCGTTTGCAACGCCAGGGTTGTGGGTTCGATTCCCACGGGGGGCCAGTATAAAAAAAATATGTATTCACTAACTGTAAGTCGCTCTGGAAAAGAGCGTCTGCTAAATGACTAAAATGTAAATGTAAAATGAGAACAGGCTACAGAGGTAGTTTACCCAGAAAGGCTTCATATATGAACATACCAATGTAGCTGTCTGCCCATGTAAAATGAGGTCTAGACCACCATTTGATACAAGGTGCAATGGTGGGTGAGCGACTTGGCATTTGTAACAAAGCACAAGGATGCATGATAGACTGAGTCCAGACTCTGTAGCACAGAAGGGGCTTCATGCATGTACATTAAGTCACCGTCATTAATTACTGAAAGAAAAGTAGCTTGAACAAGACTTGTTGTGAAAAAATTAAAACCCAATTTCAGTTTAATCTTCCTCACAAGATTATCCATATGAACCTTGTTGTACAGCTCTTGTTCAACCATATGGAGCTCAAATGGAGCCCTGGGGTACACCTCTAGTAATCTAAATGGAAGCTAGACTTGGGATTCTCAGCATAGACGCATTGTGTTCTGTCTGCGAGATAGTTTCTTAACCAGTTGACAGCCCCTTCAATGAGACCAACGTTATTGAGTCTGGCTAGCAACAGTTTGTGGTCAACAAAAGCCAGATTGAACCCCACACAGGATGTTGTTTCAAGTAGGAATTGATTTAGCTGAGAGTTCACTAGAGATTCAAAGACTTTGACCAGGATACAGAGCTTGGAAATAGGGCAATAGTTATTTACATCTGAAGGGTCTCAACCCTTTAGTAGGGGGTGAACATATGCTGATTTCCAAATGTTGGGTATTGATATGATGTTTTTATAGTGTTATGGGAAACAAGGTTATAATTAGTAGATAAGTGACTTGGTGCCACAGAGTCTGCATTCCTTGTGTCAAAGGAGATTACTGATGTTGATCTTAGAATAATTGATGGACAGGATATACTGACTTGGGGTAAAGGGTAATAACATCAAAGAAGGGAGTTCCCATTGAGGGTTTTCAGATGTTCGTGAAGAAACTTGTAACAGAGGGTATATAAGGGAGAGTGGCTCTTTGTTCAAATCAGTTCGGAATAGCAAGAGGCAAAGCTCTGTCTTTGGTATATCGAACCCGGTACCGACTAATAAAACATTTGAATTAACTTTCAACAAAGTGTCTAAGTATATCCTTACATCCTTGATTACTGGATACCCGAGAAACTCATCATAACAGGTATTGAATAGTTTAAATTTTTTTTAAAACAATAATAGTTCAAGCACATATGGTACTTGCAAGCACACAGAACTCAGAAACTATGTATTTGGGCAGAGACACAACTTTCTAAGAATATCTTAATACATTTTAAAGTTTATTAACAAAGCATGCATTTCTTTTAACATATAAAGCAGACAGAACAGTACGTGATATACAGTCTTTTTATTAAGTATTGGTTAATGTCGTCGATCTCATTTGGAGAGGATAAGGACACGCCGTGTGTTAGTTATGTCACTGGTGGGTGACAGAAGGTCTGCGTGCCAAGATAGATTGGGGGCCACTTGTGCTAATCTTAGAATGAGTACGTGATGGAATAGCCTGGCTAGGGTGCCACACGATACCATGTAGGGCGATCCTATTGTAGGAGATGAGTGACACTCAACAATGGTTGGCAACTGTTGGATGGAATTAGCTCGGAAAGCATGATATAAACTGAGAGGTTTTTCTATGTAAGTGATTCGGATGACAATAGCCTACGCCCGTACCGCTTGTCAGACGAATCCAGTACTGTAACTATTAAATAACTATGAATCAACTCTCCATCGAAGTGTTCTACTATTCTCTTACATCCTGAAGCACGAGATACCAGAGAAACTCATCATAACATTACGTAAGACTATGATTCAGTAAAAAATATAAACTATGCAACCAATCAAATGTGGTCTACAACATATGGACTAAAAAGTCCAATTAGGTCAAAGACATAGGTAAAATGTACCATAAACAAAAAGTTTCTTATTTTGTGTGTTTTATCCCTGAAAAAGCAGGTGCAAGAAGTAAATCTGTCCCTTGGTCTCACCAGAGAGACCTGTCTGGTTTCTACTCATCCTCAGTTTTACCTTGGAGTCAGTTTGCCCTGAACTTCACCACAGAGTCAGTTTGCCCTGAACTTCACCACAGCAATGATGGTGCACAGGAGGAAGAGCACTGCATTACCAATTTTTGGCAGGTAGAAGAATGTTCTCCCCCATCTGTAAAAGAATTGAAAGATTTAGAACATGTTCCTCTGTAAATTGCAGCAATACAAGGATTTTTTTTTTAAGGGGAATCGTAAATGGAAGACTTCATTTTTCTAAAGGCAGTATATATTTAACTGTTTGCAGCAGCAGTGATGATTTTGACGGCACATTGTCTTTAATGAGTGTGGTTCAATGAAGGTGGTGACTATGACACCAGCTATCACCACCACCAACATGCCCAGAGGAATCAGTAGGACTCTTAGATCTATGGAACTGATGGTGAAAGTCTGTTTATTGTCAAATACAGTCCATAAAATATCATAGATAAATAGACATGTTTGTGCTGCTATGACTAAATGAAATTATTTGTTCAGCTCTTCACACATTTCATGTGTGGAACTTGGCCATACAATAATATAATGCTGCTACTTCAACAACTACAGAGATATGAGGAAGTGGTAAATGTCTCTGTCTCTATGATGGTAAATGTCTCTATAACAGTATCTTGGCCTATACTCTGTGTGAAGATGTTTAAGGAAGGTGTTTTTGTGCCATACACTTTAGTGTGAAAAACTGAAAATGTTACCATTCTTCATAATTCTATTGTCATCCATTTGGAAGAGTATGTGAGAAATATAGCTGAATGAGTGATAATTACCTCATGGTGTCCTTCTCCTTGCCCCCCTCAGGTCCTTGGACTGTGTTGTCAGTCTGAACAGGCTCAGCAGTTGGAGAGAAAGAGGATTGTTCAGTGGTTGGAGCTTGGGTTGCTGTGAGGTGAAAACAACAATGGTATTATGACTGGTGTACCAGACAGACACAGGGTAGACTGAATTGTAACAAGACATTGTGGCTAAACTATGACCTTCTTGTAACGCTTATTTCATTTACCCCAACATGTGGATTTTAACTTCATATTAGCACTGTTGAGTTCAAACCAATGGTAGGACCACCGTAAGTATTCCCAAAAGCTTTGAATCAGGTTACAGTCCAATTTGTTTCAGATGATAAGCAAGACTGGATAAAACCAGGTTAGTACTTAATTCTACAGTATCTGATTGCTCTCTACTCACTGGTCATAGTGGTGGTACTTTGTGTGGTGGTTTGTCGTCTGACAGTGATGTGAACAGGCATTATAAGGTATCCCACTCTACACATGTACCAGCCAGTGTTTTCCATCTTCAGTCCACTCATATTCACCATTAAGATGTTTCCTATGGTGGCATCAGTGGTCTGCTGTAGGGTCACTGATGTTCCATCTAGAGTCCCAGAATTCATCCACATACAGGAGACACTGCCATGACTCCTACACCACTCCGTATTTCCAATGTCACTATAGTAACATTTTACAATGACACTCCCTCCTTCAACTCCAGTCACCTCCTGTTGGTCCACATAGAGTTCTGGATTACCTGAACACAGAGGTACACACACCAAAGAAGGTCCTGAGTGATCAAGTGGTTTTTTGTAACAACTGACCACAAATATCATAATTATGATATGATGGATAGAGAACAGAAAGTAGACATATACCAACATTCCTCATGTCAACTTCAACTATAATAGTGAGACCAGTAAATGAAACCAGAACACCAGTCATGTAATCACATGGAAGAGTTGCAGGGATCTTACCTGGAGTCACAGATAGGTGGAATCGTTCTATCCTGACATCTGGTTCACCATAGACCTCTACAGCACACCAGTAACGACCAGAGTCCTCTGGCTCCAGATCAGTCATGTTCACAGTGAAGGTTCGCTGGTTGATGTCATCAGAGATTGAGGCCTTATCTGTGCTCTTAGGAGGGTCAGTGCGTACAACAGGGGAGCAACGTTGAAAATAATTTCCTTTACACCAGTATTTCACATGGGTTTTGTATTCCTGATCATAGTGACATGGGATGGTGATGGAGCCTCTTGTCTTCACAGACACACGATAAGCACCTGCAGACACAACAACAGAAAACACAGTTTGAAACTCAAGCAAATTCTCACAGCAGGAAAAACATATTACATCTGGAGGGGGGAGGGGGGAGGGGCATCCACATCCCCATCCAGAATACATTATATAGTGTTTTCAGTCAGAACTATTATAGATCATGGACTTCTAATCCCACCCCTCAGCTGCTCTCAGTCCATCCCACCTATCTCTGTAAACCACCCTCTTATGATTTACATGTGCCATATATTTTTCAACTGTGCTGTGATTTTTCACTTAAATTCTGAACCTGTCTAATCGCACAGTATCTACAGATTGTATATTAAAGATGAATATTTTAACTAAGAGTATTATTATATTGTTGATTGATTGACTATGGCATTCCAAATCTCCCAACAGTGCTACTTGTAGGTTCAGTTTCAGGTAAATGCGATTTTTCATCCACTCTTGAACCTGTGACCAGAATAAGTTATCTAATGACTCGTTCTCTAAGCAGCAAAATCTGCAGAGCTGAGACTGTTGTATGCCCCATATACATAACATTGTTGGTGGCAAGAATGTTGTATAATAATTTATATTTTTTTTAATCAAGCATTGATTTGTATATTAGTTCATAAACCTTTTACCATGGAATCAGAATCCCCACCTTCTCCCCTTCCACTTGCCTCTTCCATTTTTGTGGTAATGCTGCAATCAGCTGATTGTAATTTGGGATAGAGCAAACATCTCCATATATTTTGTTAGCTGCACCTGTGCTATAACTCAACTTTTCCTATCCATAATATCATTAATAAAGATAATTACTTGTTTTATTCCATAAAGAATATATTGTTTTATCAATTAGTATATTTGAGGTTAACTGTTACGTTCCCCAGCAAGAAATCAAAAATGTCACTCAAACAGAAGAAAGAACTAACAAAAAGTCACAGACCAACAACAAAATGGAAACAGGTGGGGTTTTAGGAGGGGGTTCTGAAAGACACTGATGGGGGTGTCCACTGACAGTTGACTAGCAACAACAACTGGAACCTAAAAGACACTCGCCATGAGCACTGACTAAATTTCCCCCAGAAGAGGCAAACAAAAGAAAAACCCAAACTTAAAGACAGGAAGCAAACCAAAAAGGTGGAGCAAAACAGAATCAGGAAAAGCAGATAAAATGTGTCTAGAAATAAAAATAGGGCTCGCAAACTAAAGGTGTTAACCCTCCACATCTATCAAGACAACTGGAGCACTGGGCCAGCCACTCTTAAATAGCACCAGGGCCAGCACAGGTGAAACACCTTCCCTCTAACGAGACGGCAACCAGCACAGGTCAAATCAAATCAAATCAAATTGTATTGGTCACATACACATATTTAGCAGATTTTACTGCGGGTGCAGTAGTATCTAACAATCCACAACCATACACAAATCTAAAAGTGAAGTAATGGAATTAAGAAATATTTAAATATTAGGTTGAGCAATGTCGGAGTGGCATTGACTAAAATACAGTAGAACAGAATACAGTATGTACATATGAGATAAGTAAAGCAGTGTGTAAACATTATTAAAGTGACTAGTGTTCCATTATTAAAGTAACCAGTGATTCCATGTCTATGTATATAGGGCAGCAGCCTCTAAGGTGCAGGGTTGAGTAATCGTGTGGTAGCCAGCTAGTGATGGCTATTTAACAGTCTGATGGCCTTTGATGCACCTGTACTGACCTCGCCTTCTGGATGATAGTGGGGTGAACAGGCCATGGCTCGGGTGGTTGATGTCCTTGATGATCTTTTTGGCCTTCCTGTGACATCGGGTGCTGTAGGTGTCCTGGAGGGCAGGCAGTGTGCCCCTGGTGATGCGTTGGGCAGACCACAACACCCTCTGGAAAGCCCTGCGGTTGCGGGCGGTGCAGTTGCCGTACCAGGCGGTGTTACAGCCCGATAGGATGATCTCAATTGTGCATCTGTAAAAGTTTCTGAGGGCGAGGAACTTGAAGCTTTCCACCTTCTCCACTGAGGTCTCGTCGATGTGGATAGGGGCGTGCTCCCACTGCTGTTTCCTGAAGTTCACGATCAGGTCCTTTGTTTTGTTGACGTTGCGGGAGAGGTTATTTTCCTGGCACCACTCCGCCAAGGCCCTCACCTCCTTCCTGCAGACTGTCTCGTCATTGTTGTTAATCAGGCCTACTACTGTTGTGTTGTCTGCAGACGTGATGATTGAGTTGGAGGTGTGCACGGCCACGCAGTCATGGGTGAACAGGGAGTACAGGAGGGGGCTGAGCACGCAACCCAGTTGCACAGGGCGGGGTTCAGATCCAGGGCACCGAGCTTAATGATGAGCTTGGAGGGTACTATGGTGTTGAAGGCTGAGCTATAGTCAATGAACAGCATTCTGACGTAGGTATTCCTCTTGTCCAGATGGGATAGGGCAGTGTGCAGTGTGATACCGATTGCATCGTCTGTGTATCTATTGGGGCGGTAAGCAAATTGAAGTGTGTCTAGGGCAGTTCCAGTCCTCGGGGGCTTGATTGGTGTCACTCTTTTGCGTCAGCCCCAGCTAACACGTCTGACTCCAATAATCAACTAATCATGATCTTCAGTTAAAAATGCAATTAGTTTAAATCAGCTGTTTCTGCTAGGGATGGGGCAAAAGTGTGACACCAATCAGGCCCCCAAGGACTGGAGTTGCCCAGGCCTGATCTAGGGTGTCAGGTAAGGTAGAGGTGATATGATCCTTAACTAGCCTCTCAAAGCACTTCATGATGACATAAGTGAGTGCTACTGGGCGATAGTCATTTAGTTCAGTTACCTTTGCTTTCTTGGGTACAGGAACAATGGTGGACATCTTGAAGCAAGTGGGGACAGCAGACTGGGATAAAGGGAGATTGAATATGTCTGTAAACACTCCAGCCAGCTGGTTTGCGCATGCTCTGAGGACGCGGCTAGGGATGCCGTCTGGGCCGGCAGCTTTGTGATGGTTAACACGCTTAAACGTCTTACTCACGTCTGCCACGGAGAACGGGAGTGGGCCGCGTCGGTGGCACTGTGTTATCCTCAAAGCGAACGAAGAAGGTGTTTAGCTAGTCTGGGAGCAAGACGTCGGTGTCCACGATGTGGCTGGTTTTCCCTTTGTAATCTGTGATTGTCTGTAGACCCTGCTACATTCGTCTCGTGTCTGAGCCGTTGAATTGCGACTCCACTTTGTCTCTGTTTTGCCTGTTTGATTGCCTTGCGGAGGGAATAACTACACTGTTTGTATTTGACCATATTCCCAGTCACCTTGCAGTGGTTCGCGATTCAGTGTTCTGCAAATGCTGTCATCTATCCACGGTTTCTGGTTTGGGTAGGTTTTAATAGTCAACGTGGGAACAACATCCCCTATACACTTCCTGATGAACTCAGTCACCGTGTCCGTGTAAACGTCAATGTTATTCTCAGAGGCTGCCCGGAACATATCCCAGTCCGCGTGATCAAAACAATCTTGAAGCATGGATTCTGATTGGTCGGAACAGCGTTGAATAGACTTTTGCATGGGTACTTCCTGTTTGAGTTTCTACCTATAGGAAGGGAGGAGCAAAAAGGAGTCATGATCTGATTTGCCGAAGGAAGGGCGGGGGAGGGCCTTGTAGGCGTCTCGAAAAGGCGAATAGCAGTGATCTAGTGTTTTTCCTAAGCGAGTACTACAGTCAATGTGTTGATAGAACTTCGATGGCGTTTTCCTCAAATTTGCTTTGTTAAAATCCCCAGCTACAATAAATGCTGCCTCCGGATATGTGGTTTGCAGTTTGCATAAAGTCCAGCGTAGGTCCTTGAGGGCCGTCTTGGTATCGGCTTGAGGGGGAATATACACGGCTGTGACTATAGCCAAAGATAATTCTCTTGGGAGGTAATACCGTGTGCATTTGATTGTGAGGTGTTCTAGGTCGGGTGAACAAAATGACTTGAGTTTCTGTATGTTATCACAATCACACCATGAGTAGTTAATCATGAAACATACACCCCCGCCTTTCTTCTTCCCAGAGAGTTCTTTATTCCTGTCTGCGCAATGAACTAAGAACCCAGCTGGCTGTATGTACGGGGACAGTATATCCCGAGAGAGCCATGTTTCTGTGAAACAGAGTATGTTACAGTCCCTGATGTCTCTCTGGAAGGAGATCCTCGCCCCGAGCTAGTCTACTTTATTGTCCAGAGACTGAACATTAGCGAGTAATATACTCGGAAGCGGTGGATGGTGTGCCCGCCTCCTGAGTCAGACTAGAAGTCTACTCCGAATACCTCTTCTCCGCCAGCGGCGTCTTGGAGCAGCCTCTGGGATAAATTCAATTGCCATGGGGGGTACGAACAAAATATCAAATTCGGAAAGTCGTATTCCTGGTCGTAATGCTGGCGAGTTAACGTCACTCTGATATCCAAAAGTTATTTCCGGCTGTATGTAATAACACAAAATATGTTCTGGGCTAATAATGTAAGAAATAACACACAACAAAACAAAAACAAAATACTGCAAAGTTGCTTAGGAGCTAGAAGCAGAGCTGCCATGTCTGTCGGCGCCATACTGATTAACGAGGTGACTCCAATTGGTGCGCCCTACGTTGTAACGAGCTACACGTTCCAAAGTCCAACCTCAAAACATAAATGGAAAACCAAAGCCTGTAACATGAACCTTAATATTTGTTGTAATATTTATTCTGTCTTTTCTGGAAAATGAAACCAGGAATTGCAACCAGCTTTGTATGGCTTGTTTTAGAAAGGGCAATATTTTGAAACATTTTCAATTTTCAATTAACTGAAAGTGAGAGGGCGTAATCATGCATCGAATACAACAGGTGTAGGCCTTACTGTGAAATGCTTACTTACAAGCCCTTAACCAACAATGCATTTTTAAGAAAATTAGAGTTAAGAAAATATTTACTAAATAAACTAAAGTAAAAAAAGTAACACAATAAAATAACAATAACGAGGCTATATACAGGGGGTACCGGTACCGAGTCAATGTTCGGCTATACAGGTTAGTCGAGATAATTGAGGTAAAGTGTATATGTAGGTAGGGGTAAAGTGACTATGCATAGATAATAAACAGTGAGTAGCAGCAGAGTATAAAACAAGTGGGTGGGGGAGGGTTAATGCAAAAAGTCCGGGTAGCCATTTGAATAGTTGTTCAGAAGTCTTATGGCTTGGGTATAGAAGCTGTTAAGGAGCCTTTTGGAACTAGACTTGGTGCTCCGGTACCGCTTGCCATGCGGTAGTAGAGAGAACAGTCTATGACTTGGGATGGCTGGAGACTTTGACAATTTTTAGGGCTTTCCTCTGACACTGCCTGATATAGAGGCCCTGGATGGCAGGAAGCTTGGTCCCAGTGATGTACAGGGCCGTATGCACTACCCTCTGTAGCTCCTTACGGTCGGATGCCGAGCAGTTGCCATACCAGACGGTGATGCAACCAGTCAGGATGCTCTCGATGGTGCATTTGTAGAACGTTTTGAGGATCTGGGAACCCATGCAAAATCTTTTTAGTCTCCTGAGGGGGAATAGGCGTTGTCGTGCCCTCTTCACGACTGTTTTGGTGTGTTTGGACCATGATAGTTTGTTGGTGATGTGGACACCAAGGAACTTGAAGCTCTCAACCCGCTCCATTACAGCCCCATTGATGTGAATGGGGGCGTGCTCGGCCCTCCTTTTCCTGTAGTCCACGATCAGCTCCTTTGTCTTGCTCATGTTGAGGGAGAGGTTGTTGACCTGGCACCACACTGCCAGGCCTCTGACCTCCTCCCTATAGGCTGTGTCATCATTGTTGGGGATCAGGCCTACAACCGTTGTGTCGTTGGCAAACTTAATGATGTTGTTGGAGTCGTGCTTGGCCACGCAGTCGTGGGTGAACAGGGAGTTCAAGAGGGGACTATGCACGCACCCCTGAGGGGCCCCCGTGTTGAGGATCAATTTGGCAGATGTGTTGTTGCCTATCTTACCACCTGGGGGCGGCCAGTCAGGAAGTCCAGGATCCAGTTGCAGAGGGAGGTGTATAGTCCCAGGGTACTTAGCTTAGTGATGAGATTTGAGGGCACTATGGTGTTGAATGCTGAGATGTAGTCAATGAACAGCATTCTCACATAGGTGCTCCTTTTGTCCAGGTGGGAGAGGGCAGTGTGGAGTGCAATTGAGATTGCGTCATCTGTGGATCTGTTGGGGCGGTATGCAAATTGGAGTGGGTCTAGGGTTTCCGGGATGATGTTATTGATGTGAGCCATGACCAGCCTTTCAAAGCACTTCATGGCTACAGACATGAGTGCTACGGGGCGGTAGTCATTTAGGCAGGTTACCTTGGGATTATGGTGGTCTGCTTAAAACATGTAGGTATTACAGACTCGGTGAGGGACAGGTTGAAAATGTCAGTGAAGACACTTGTATGTTGGTCCGCGCATGTTCTGAGTGCACGTCCTGGTAATCTTTCTCGCCCCGCGGCCTTGTGAATGTTGACCTGTTTGAAGGTCTTACTCAAATCGGCTACGGAAAGCGTGATCACACGGTCGTTCAGAACAGCTGGTGCTCTCATGCATGCTTCACTGTTGCTTGCCTCGAAGCAAGCATAGAAGGCATTTAGCTAGTCTGGTAGGCTTGTGTCACTGGATAAAGGGAAAAAAGCCATTTTTAAACAAGGGGTGAGCCATTCTTACTTATCTACTTGAGAACCAGTTTGGCTTTAAGTATAACTTTTGTATGACTGATGCTTTTAGTGAGAGGTTTAATGCTTTAATATTTAATACTTTTTGCCCCCCGAACTCATATTTTATATAAAGAAGCATTAATATTTGTTGTATTATATATTTGTTTTGGGGGGTGCAAAGCTGTAATCAAGGCAAAGGGTGGCTATTTGAAGAATCTCAAATTTCTAATATATTTTGATTTGTATAACACTTTTTTGATTACTACATGATTCCATATGTGTTATTTCATAGTTTTTTGTTGTTGTTTTTTTATGCCATTTTAGCAGACACTTTTATCCAAAGCGACTTACAGTCATGTGCGCATACATTTTTACGTATGGGTGGTCCCAGGGATCGAACCCACTACCCTGGCGTTACAAGCGCCATGCTCTACCAATTGAGCTACAGAGGTAGAAAATAGTAAAAATCAAGAAAAACCCTTGAATGAGTAGGTGTTCTAAAACATTTGACCGGTAGTGTATATAAATATTTTTTTAAATATATTTTTTCCTTTATTATCTTCCCCTAACCCTACCACCCATCCCCTAATTGGAGTAATCTAATGGACAAAAAGACTTAGGCTTCTACTTCCAGCTTATACATACTATATACATTTGACTGACACAATATATATTTTACATTAGTTATCTTGTTGTTATTAGTCCCACCCTTCAGCTCCACTCAACCCCACCCATCTATATCTTAACTCGATCCATTTTGTATTCCTATTTGCCATATATTTTTCAACTGTGCTGTGATGTTTCACAAAAGTTCTGAACCTATCTATTCTATTCTCATAGTTTCTACAGTTTGCAAATTACAGATACATTTCTTTGCTAAAAGTATTACTATACTATTGATCAATTGACTTTGACTTTTCAAATAAACCAGCAGTGCCATTTGCAGAGCTATCTCCTGGTAAATGTTGCAATTCTTCAGGGATTCCTGGACCTGCGACCAATAAAATCGCTATTTATTTTTGCATCACAACACTAATCTGTTTTTTACGGACTGGATCTTTATATGTACGACTTGTTTCCTTTTTCAGTAATAATGAAATCAGACCTTCTTGTTGAGTATCTGATAATCTAACATTTGTATAGGAGTGGTTAAAACATGCTAATAACGGTCCTCTGAATACATCAAAAAGGTTTGGTATACCTCAACTGGAATGCCATCCAGCCCTGGAGTGTTCCCGCAATTAAAGGCTTTACTTGTGCCTATCAGCAGCCTGTTATATTCCTATCAGCAGAGAGAGATATTTCATGTAGTTATTATTATGTCCTGTTATATTTCCGCAAAAAGGAAGAAAGAAGAAGGAAGATACAATTTAACAGCCACTAATGACTGACAGAAAAGATTTGTCTTATGCATCACACTACCCATGAAGTTTAATTTATAATCGACCCCGACACAGCCATGGCAAGATAGCAATAAAGCACATGCAGTTCTAACAATCTAGAGTGAGTAAACCTGTAAACCAACCTTCTCTCCACACACACACATTTATAGTTGCTCTTTCACTTCGGCTGTTTTACACATAGGCCTATAGCATTGGGGACAAATTATAAGGGTAGCATATATAGATCATGTTTGTTATGATGTCATTTCATAGTGTTGTGTGAACCAGGTTAAAGTTAGTAGATAAGTGACTTGGTGCCGTACAGTCTGAATACCAAGGAGTCCATTATGTCAAGGGAGCTTACTGGTGGTTTATCTCAGAATGATTGATAGATATGATATACTGACTTGGGGTAATACCATGAAAGAAGGGAGTGCCAAATAATGGTTAACAGATGTGGTGGAAGAAACGTGTAACAGAGGGTATATAAGTGAGAGGGTCTCTTTGTCTAGAAGTTCGGAATAGCTAGAGGCAGAGCACTGTCTGTTTGTTATGCTAACCATGGTACCTATTAAATATTTATATGAACTCCCCAGCTAAGTGTTAAATATCTTCTTACATCATGAATTTCTTGATACCATAGAAACTCATCATAACAGATTGGCATCGAAACGAACAGGATGCAGTTTACAGCCGAACTAACAGGTAAACAGACTTTCATTTTTTTTATTATGTCAAATTCTGCGGTGGAGCTGAGCTGTAACAAACTTTTAAAATTCAATATTTTTAAAGGGGGACGATGAGTGGTGTTGAGTTGTATAGAAGGGATGTAAGGAGAATTATCAAATTAGACAATAACATGGTGCTATGAGTCTAAGAAGGGTTTGGTCAGAGTAATGACTAAAAAAAACAGAGAAGAAGGAGAATGGGTGTAACAATATTGGGCGTAGGGTCTTTTAATGTTTAGACATTATAAAATAGGTCAAAGGTTTGAGTCCTCAACATGACGAGATTATGGATTGTACGACATTATAAAATAGAATAAACATTGTTCATAGGTTCAAGTCCTTGGTAGAAGGTTATAAAGGCCCAATATGGTATTTTGGTGTAGGTTTGAGGCCTACGGTTGAAGGTTAAAATCCTTGGTTGAAGGTTACAGTCCTTAGTAGAAAGACGATACTAAAAAGGTGAAAGGTTGTGAGGTTCAAGTCCTCAACAGCTTAGAAATAAAGGTTAGAGTCCTTTATTGTGATGTTCAAGTCATAATGGTTAAAAGCATTATAAATGAGTGGGTTTGAGGCCCTTTGATGTGTACAAATTAAGGAGGTTCAATCCTCTGAGAGGTAGAGTACTGTGGTGAAGAGAGAATTAGTATTTTGGTGAATTACTCAAAACGGCCAGGAGAGGGAGCCAATGCAATGTAACGTATTGAATCATAGTCCCAAAAAGTCAAAATAGGCAAACATTTTAATACAGAATGGGGATTTGATTTAAGTATTTCATTACTAATATTGCACTAATAGCAGTAATGAATGTCCAGCTTGGTAGACCAGTATCTGGGAAAACAGTCAACATTAAGAGTAAAGCAGAGCTTCATTTAACTCGAAGAGAGAGACAGCAAATGATGAAAATATTACGGGCAAATTTGCATTTAGAATAAGTCTCTTGTAAAGTAATAGATGTTAAGTAAATTAGGATTTTTCTATGTGGGACCATATCTTCGTGATTTATCAGCATGGACAGATAATGAGTAAGGTTTTTTTTTTTAAAGGGATAAGTTGCAGTGTCATTATGTCATTGACAATATCGTCGTAAGCAACACGAAATGGGATTTACATTATATGAAAGAGGCATATAAAGCATGCGATTTAATGAGCGCACGATGGCAAGGAAATATAAGTAATAAGGAGAAAAAGTCAGCTAACAAAGTTAAGTAATTGAATGGGACAACATGGGTTATCTTATGAACAAAGAGCAGAAAGTAATTTGAATCTGAGGGGTGCATAATAAATTATAGAAATGGACATGATAATTTGATATAAGTTTGGATAAGAAGTTACAAAATATAACAGAATTAAGTCATAGAATATCAAGGAGTGGTATGAATATTGTGAGGTTATTTTAGAGAGTAGTGGAAAAGTGTATTTTCTGAGACAGACAGGGAAGAGTCCTGGAAATTATAGTCTTTTTTTTTTGGTCCGCTGGGAGTATGATTAGAGGTGGATTTGTGTCGATTGAGAATTGGTTAAAAAAACACGAAGGGATTCTTGGATGTGAGTACTTAGAAGTTTCTAACGTTATGTATGTATTAACTTGCTCACCCAAACGTAGACGTACGTCATGGGTGGGGAAGTAATAAATACGGGTTTTCTAAGTTGTACCGTTGTTAGATCGTGATAGAGATAAGGTTTAAGGAATTAAATGCCCATAAGTAATGTGGTTATAGACGTAATTTATAATAAAGTACAAAGCCAATTTAGGGTTTCCATTAAACTAATTAACACTGCGGAACTAAGGTGGTGAAGGAACTTCATTTTGGTATCAGAGGGTAAGATGATAAACCAGTGTAATTGGGCTATTTTGTGGGATTTATTTGTCATTGCAATGGCATGGAGTAAACAAATCTGGGTTTCTGAGTGTAATTCAACTGTTGGTAAGTGTTGCTTAGACAGATAATACAAAGTATTTGGTTTGGTGAGGAAGAATGGAAGGTTTGTAGTGTGATTGGGTTAAATGGAAGGACGCACTTATTTAACAGGAATAGTGAGACGATTTCCTGGTATTCATTTTTTTGTGTTGCCTAAGGGTTTGCTAAATTAAACGATTGAGAATGGTGGCATAATGTCAATCCATAAATTGGATATTGATACTATGGATATAAATTCAATATATGCTGGTCAAATACAGCAAGTGTTTGGTATTACTTGTAGCCTACTTAGGAAGGACAGTTACCTAGATCTGCTGTATTCCAATAATGGCGGATTGATGGTTTCAGAAGAGCTGTGGCTATGATATTAGTTGAAAATAGGGTATAGTGATGAAGCACAGAGAAGCGAATGTCTTATCTTCATGGGAAGTGAAGCAAGAGAACTCAGAAAATAAAATGAATATTAAACAAACACCAGGGATAATGAAGCAGTGTTGGAAGGAAGCAGAGTATGAAAGATAACATTGACTGAGGAATATAGCACATTTTGGGTTACGGTAACTACAGAAATATTACTGACACAATATCGTAATAGATAAACTGAACCAAACATGAAGCTACGACAGCAATTTATGATTGTTAATGTTGTTAAGTTAGTTTTTAAACCCTACGATAGAGGTAAATGCAGAACGCTGTTTGAGCATGGGTTGTATTTGGTCTACTAGTAAGAATGGGTTTCCATGTTTTTGTCTGCGGGTGTTAGCGAATGGGGCTCGCTGAAACGTGAGAGAGCTGTACGTGTCATTATGGGTTACGTTTGGTGTACAAGGATGAATGAAGTCAAAGGGGAATGAAGTCAAAGTGTGTTGAATGTTACCGGTGTGAACGGGCTAGCTAGTTAGTGGTGCGAACTAGTGGCGTTTAGAGTGGTGACGTAACTTGCTCTGCGACATGAAAGTAGTTGTTTACCTTGCTTTTTAAGGACTGCGGATTTCGTGGAGCGACGGGTAACGGTGTTTAGAGGGTGAATGTTGTCGATGTGTGTAGAGGGTCCCTGGTTCAAGACCATGTTGGGAAGGAAAGCAAAACTTTTACATTGATGCTATTGACCTAGATCACTAGGTGAAGTGATTCAATTATACGAAAGAGATTGTCTTACCAACCCATAGCGGACAGTATAACATAGTAATTAAAGTTGCATCTCTGTGAATAGATGTTTTGTTAGTTTTGACCATAACTTCACAATAATTTGTAATCTGTTGAAGTACCGTTAGATGGAAAGTCAGCGGTAGAGAATGATAGATATTGTAGAGGGTTTTCTGTGTTACAAAGTAAGTAAGTAAATTGGGTGATGAGAAATATGTTGAATTGGATTGTTTAAAGAAGAATAAGTAGGTTAATTGGGAGATGTGAAATGTTGAATTGGATTGTTTAATAGACTGGTATTAAAATAATTATTTCTAGTAAGGTTAATGAAAATATGTTATTAGGTAGTAGTGGTTTGTGGATACAATTTACTAATGACATGATTTAGTATGAGGGTGAAAAAGAGTAGTGATCGTTGTGCTATGTTGGGATATAAAGGACGCAGTTGTAATGTGGAGCACATATCTAGATAGTTGATTATGGAACGTTCTTTGATAATTGTTAATTATTATTATAAAATTCCATAGATTGTTTAAGACAACAGTGAGTTATGCAGACAGTTCATTAATTTTAAAAACGATAATCTGTTTATGGAACGTTGAACAATGGGAGATAGTTTTTACTATTAGGCTGATGAAGAAGTAAACATTTTTTTGTAGGTTCTGGGGTTATTAAACAATATGTTTATATTTTAAAACATCAATGCAACGAGTGGAGATGATTACATTACCAAACAGGGGTTCTAGGTTTATATTAGAAGGTGTAGTGAACTTAATGAAACGTGGTATTATCTGATGTGTTCTGAGTGGGAGTTTTTTTTTCCAGGATTGTTGGAAGTCCCCTATAAGTATAGGTTAAGGAAAAGTAGGAGACAACGCCTCAAACAATATTTTTTAATAGATGCCTGGGATAAAATTTCACGGCTTACTTACGCGGAGTAAGTGATTGTATTGGCAAATGAATGAAATATGACATTTAGAGGGGTGACAGGATCAATATAAGGGGAAACAGATATATCCTATATTATTGATCAAGTAACGATACTAGGATAATTTGATATGGGATCACATGGAGCAGATTTAGCCTTTTGATAATCATTGTGAGAATTACAGAGGATGAAGTCTGAAGGGTACTCCATAAAAAATTCTCATTGTGAACTCAAAGAACTTTGAGTGGTTTTCATCTTTTGACAGATTTATATCATCTTCTTATGGAGTAGTTATGAGGAATTAGATTGATACAAACGATTATTGATGAGACAGGAAAGTGTATATCTGTATCATGTTTTGTGTGTAATTCATATCTTTGGGTTACTGATTCTAATTGAATGTTAACGAAATGAATAATTTCTCTTCCAGGAGAAAGGGGATTTCCTTATCTCTCATTGGAATTTTGCCCAGGGCTAGGGGGAGAAGTTAGTACATTTAGGCAGTATTAGGTCGTAAAAGGGAGCTACCAAATTAAATAAGGCCTGGCTATTTTTGTTTGTTGTTTTCAATTGGGTTTTTCAAATAACCACACACAACCCACCTAGTATGATGTTTATATAAGGTTGTTTTTGATTTTAAGGTTTTTTTTAACAGGTCAAAGGTGATATGTCTTAAAGTAGCACACATATGGAGCTTTATGTGTGCTCCATATGTTTTTATGAAGTTTTCTTTCATTTCTGAGTACGTTTTGAGTAAATACGTGATTTATTTTGAGAAGAAATGTCATGAGGACTTAATGTACACTTTGGATAAGTAACATTTATGAAATATTTTGACTGTTGGTAATGATTTGTCTACTCTAGAATGGAACACTTCGTTGAAGGATTTCAATGACCTCTGAACTCTGTTCTGACTTTTTAGTGTGAATTTATCACCCACACTGGAAATCCTAGAGGCATGGGATGACGAATTTAAGGTAGTTTATTTTACCGAGTTGAGGGTAATTTATAATACTGATAATTATGAAGAAGTTTTATAAATTGGCAATAATCCCAAATATATATATGATTCAGACCATGAAAAGAAAAGAGTGAGAGCGCTATCCCTGAATGAGGGATACCTGTCGCTACTCAATTTTACTAGTCTTTAATTACTTTAGGGGATACAATTAAGTTAAGGTATTATAAAAAGTTGTCATTTTGATGTCATTTTTTATTTTGGTTTAACAAACAATGCATTGTTTTTGTGTTTGTGTCTGTGTGTTTTTGCAGCAGGTACTCTCAACTTCCCTAGTGGTAAGATGCAAGAAGGACACACTACACAGAGCGATGTTAATAGACATTTGGGAGTATATTAGAAATTGGTATTAAGAATAATTGGTAAAACGTAATCATTTGTCATATAGTCAATACTTATATGGATTTCTTGGATTCGAAATGAAATCAATTAAACTGTTATGTTTTGTCTTCTAGTGAGGTAAATACAGATGGTGTCTTGATGCATAGCAGGGATAATTTGGCCTAGAATGGTGTGAACCTAAATAAAAGAAACAACCTATGAACCGGCTGAAGATGAATATAAGAGGCGTTGAAGACGTTTCTGTAAAGTACCACTTCTACCTGCAACTGGTCTACATCAGCCAATCGAAGCTATCGAATGATTTTTTTTATCTCGAGGGAGTGGGACAGGAGTCCACCATTGAGTGCGAATGGAGAAAGATACGTTCAAATGCAACATTTCTAATGTTGTGGGTGCAATGGTTGGCAAATGGATAAGAAACAATGGGGTGTAGAGTTAGTGGTGACTCGTATGAGACATTGTAGTTGGGACATTGTCATGGGCCAGTCATTTTGAAATGTGAAGATGTCTGAAGAACATAATGGAGAGACGCCAGAAGATTTAAGTGCCGGGAGAAAAAAGGGGTTGCTTAGCTGGGTGGATAATAAAATTGGATTTATCTAAATTTGCTAATTGGGGTAGTAGGTATATACACTGTTAAATTAATAGTATTAAGAATGCATTGAGATAATGATCTGTATTTATTATCAGGATGAGGAAAGTCATAATAGAATTATGGATGTTTATACTGTATGTTAATATAAGTGTACATTCTGATTGTTGTAATGAGTGATAAAGTTGAGGGTTTTAATTTTGATTGATAAGGCCCAAGTGAATCAATAACAATTGTCATTCAAAATTTTGTTGTGATAAGTAATTTGGTTTTGGGTTATCATTTATAAGATGAATGAGTGATTTAAGTAAATCATTAGTATTTATTAGTATAAATATTTTCAAAATGAAGGATATTACTTGTACAATTTAGAACTGTCTTATATAGGTATTAGGTTAAAACAGCGATACATTATGGTAATGTCTTAGGATACACTTATATGATTTATTTGGAGTAGACATTGTTGAATCATAATGTTTGAAACATGTAAATTAATGTGAGGATTGTGACTGAAATCATGAATATGTTGATTAATTGGATTAACGTATTAACATATGAGTCACTATTTACATTTGAAGTATTGGGAGGTATTGATATGGATGTTTAGAGTGGTACATATCTATGTTGCTAGGCAAGTACTTAATTGGTTCCTATCATGGGGTTTTGGTATTTGAGACATAGGAATATTTATGCTATTTTCATCTGATCTGATTGTGGTTGAATTTTTCAATCCTAACTAGTTCAAGGATGTACTGATTTAACAGGGAGTGAAAACAGAGTGAATACTGTGTATCTCTCCTCAGGCATATTATCAGAACAGAGTAAGGGTTGAATAGAGTTCAACATTGTACTCATTAACAGTCATCGGTTTTCAAGCAATTGGGTGAAAGGTTACTCATTAGACTATGCAATTGATAATCGCATAGCATTGGATGCTATTATAGTAGATAGAGGGGGAATGTATGTGATTATATAGGGGATGCATGTTGTACATGCTGGCCATCAAGATTAGGAAGGTCTTGGGGAATTTAAATAAAGCTATGGGAAATATTAGAGACATGCAGGAAGGCATTAAGAGGACTAATTCTTAATATATATAATCTTATTCCAGTTTAGAGTCCATTGATAATGTTGATTGAGGAATAGGGAATGTTAAGTTGGAAATGGATAACGTGGATTTTAAGGTTTACAGGATTGAAGATGTGGAAACAAGACTATCTCAGTCGATCAGATAGTGCCCCAAGTGAAAAGAGAAAAGCTTGGGGTTCCTCTGAATGAACATGGATGAAGAAGACTGACGTTATTTTTATTTTGATATATTCATTCGAATATATTATAATATCCATGTAACTTAGAAAGGGTCATGTATTATTGCATTTGTATGGATGATGTCATGAATTGTATTTCTATGTATGTTTTTTGGTAGCATAGTTTAGACTCTAGTCATATATATATACTACTGATTTTATACTGATGAATTTAGGCTATAATCGGTTTAACTCAGCGTTAACCTGCCAGCCGCACGCTAGCAGAGTCAACAGAACATGTTGACAACACCCTACCCAAATTGCCAGTGTGTATCAGAACAATAATATGTCTTTTGCATTTTTGAGATTGAGATTTTTTGTTTAAATGGTGTTAAAAAGATATTGACACCAATTTTTATAGGATTGTCTAGGCCTATTCCAGTAGAGAACCTAAACAGGTTATAAATCATTTATCCTACCATAGTCCACATTAGATCTGTCAATATTTATTTCTCTTAAATTCTATTAGTTCCAAATCACATGCACCAGAACAGTATTCAAGTCATAATATAGCCCAATCTCTACAATTAGCTTGTATCAGATAAAACTCAAAACCCAACATAGATTTTTACATTTTAACGCCTATGCAGTCTTCAAAATAAAATAAATAAATACAAAATTCAGCCTTAACCATTTTCGACTTCCCATAAATGCAACCTAATTTTAAGTCCACATAGTCCAAGGTTCTGTATCGCATGAGTAAAAAAGGATGAGTCCATCATGCATAAAAAATAACATAATAATAATATAAATAATAATAATAATAATAATTATTATAATATAGGATTGTAATGTGTAATGCGGAGCAATGTGTATCATGATATATCACTCACAGCCACATTGTTAACTTTGAATCCTTCAACAATTGGTTGTTTACATACAATTTATCTACCACTAGATGAACATTCTGCTTATCTGCTCTGAGCATTTTGAAAGTGGGTTAGGGCACGCCGTCTCCACTATTTCATGGGGAAATTGCTCATTAATAGAGAACGGTGTGTTCTTCAGCTCCCTACCCCGTTGTAGCAAGGCAATCTTCATTTTGTAGTGAGTTAGCCTATTCATTTTGTAGTGAGTTAGCCTATTCATTTTGTAGTGAGTTAGCCTATTCATTTTGTAGTGAGTTAGCCTATTCATTTTGTAGTGAGTTAGCCTATTCATTTTGTAGTGAGTTAGCCTATTCATTTTGTAGTGAGTTAGCCTATTCATTTCGTATTGAGTTAGCCTATTAATTTTGTAGTGAGTTAGCCTATTCATTTTGTAGTGAGTTAGCCTATTCATTTTGTAGTGAGTTAGCCTATTCATTTTGTAGTGAGTTAGCCTATTCATTTTGCAGTGAGTTAGCCTATTCAGTTTGTAGAGAGTTAGCCTATTCATGTTGTAGTGACTTAGCCTATTCATTTTGTAGTGAGTTAGCCTATTCATTTTGCAGTGAGTTAACCTATTCATTTTGTAGTGAGTTAGCCTAGCTACTAGCTGACGGTGGGACGGTGCCTTCCCTCCCCTCTGCCACCCAAACCGTGAGCCATTTGAAAATAATTTGTGTCCTCCTGTTCCTCCTTCATCTTGAGATTGTTTCTTGAAAACCTTGACTTTATCCTCAGTTGCCTTATAGTTTTCATCCTACTTTATTCCCATTATGACAATATTATTCTTCATACTTCTGCACTTCAGACCAAGTCATTCTGTTTTCATTGTGCTATCATACTATAGCCTCTCAGTAGTGCAGGGTTCCCCAACTGGCGGCCTGCGAGCCAAATTTGGCCCGCATGTGATTTTATTTCCCCCCCCCAATTTTTCTGAACAAAATGTATTTAGAGACAATAAAGAGACAAGCAAATCAGCTTAAAGTTATTTTAATTTTGGAAATCTGTACCATAGTATTAGCAAAATAATAGAGAGGTATACAGTGGGGGAAAAAAGTATTTAGTCAGCCACCAATTGTGCAAGTTCTCCCACTTAAAAAGATGAGAGAGGCCTGTAATTTTCATCATAGGTACACGTCAACTATGACTGACAAATTGAGATTTTTTTTCTCCAGAAAATCACATTGTAGGATTTTTTATTAATTTATTTGCAAATTATGGTGGAAAATAAGTATTTGGTCACCTACAAACAAGCAAGATTTCTGGCTCTCACAGACCTGTAACTTCTTCTTTAAGAGGCTCCTCTGTCCTCCACTCGTTACCTGTATTAATGGCACCTGTTTGAACTTGTTATCAGTATAAAAGACAACTGTCCACAACCTCAAACAGTCACACTCCAAACTCCACTATGGCCAAGACCAAAGAGCTGTCAAAGGACACCAGAAACAAAATTGTAGACCTGCACCAGGCTGGGAAGACTGAATCTGCAATAGGTAAGCAGCTTGGTTTGAAGAAATCAACTGTGGGAGCAATTATTAGGAAATGGAAGACATACAAGACCACTGATAATCTCCCTCGATCTGGGGCTCCACGCAAGATCTCACCCCGTGGGGTCAAAATGATCACAAGAACGGTGAGCAAAAATCCCAGAACCACACGGGGGGACCTAGTGAATGACCTGCAGAGAGCTGGGACCAAAGTAACAAAGCCTACCATCAGTAACACACTACACCGCCAGGGACTCAAATACTGCAGTGCCAGACGTGTCACCCTGCTTAAGCCAGTACATGTCCAGGCCCGTCTGAAGTTTGCTAGAATGCATTTGGATGATCCAGAAGAGGATTGGGAGAATGTCATATGGTCAGATGAAACCAAAATATAACTTTTTGGTAAAAACTCAACTCATCGTGTTTGGAGGACAAAGAATGCTGAGTTGCATCCAAAGAACACCATACCTACTGTGAAGCATGGGGGTGGAAACATCATGCTTTGGGGCTGTTTTTCTGCAAAGGGACCAGGACGACTGATCCGTGTAAAGGAAAGAATGAATGGGGCCATGTATCTTGAGATTTTGAGTGAAAACCTCCTTCCATCAGCAAGGGCATTGAAGATGAAACGTGGCTGGGTCTTTCAGCATGACAATGATCCCAAACACACCGCCCGGGCAACGAAGGAGTGGCTTCGTAAGAAGCATTTCAAGGTCCTGGAGTGGCCTAGCCAGTCTCCAGATCTCAACCCCATAGAAAATCTTTGGAGGGAGTTGAAAGTCCGTGTTGCCCAGCGACAGCCCCAAAACATCACTGCTCTAGAGGAGATCTGCATGGAGGAATGGGCCAAAATACCAGCAACAGTGTGTGAAAACCTTGTGAAGACTTACAGAAAACTTTTGACCTGTGTCATTGCCAACAAAGGGTATATAACAAAGTATTGAGAAACTTTTGTTATTGACCAAATACTTATTTTCCACCATAATTTGCAAATAAATTCATAACAAATCCTACAATGTGATTTTCTGGATTTTTTCCCCTCATTTTGTCTGTCATAGTTGACGTGTACCTATAATGAAAATTACAGGCCTCTCTCATCTTTTTAAGTGGGAGAACTTGCACAATTGGTGGCTGACTAAATACTTTTTTTCCCCACTGTATGTGATTGTATACATATCTAAGCAAGGTTTGAAGTGATTATGTTTTAGTCATCTGTTTCGGCATCTTGCGGTCAATTTGCAGTCTATACATTATTTGTAATTATGTTCTGGCCCCTTGACCATCCACTCAAGAAAAGATCGGCCCGCAGCTGAATCTAGTTGATGACATATTTTCAGCTCATATTTCTTCCATCATTTTATTGCTGTAATCCATTCCTGATTTGAGGGCCTCAACCTCCTCCATTAACCCAGGCAATAGATCTATCTTTTTTAACTGCTCGCTCATGCTTGACAGCAATGCCCATCTTCTGCTGACATTGTTATAAAAGTCTCTTCTTCCATTGTCATATTTGGAAGTTTAGATGGCGGCTTACCTTCAGTTTTGCTCGAGGAGAGTTCTGCTATGATTCTGGTTCGAGCATTTCAAAGTGTTGATCATAATTTGAAGTCTATTTCCGAGTTGTCTATGTACACTGTGCTACACTGCACGCTAACAGCCTTCGAGTCGAAAAATAGAATAGCATTCGGATTTTCCGTAGTTGTACCATCACAATTTCTAGACCAACCACGAGCTGAATC